GTTGTTTTTTCCAAATTTAACCCTAAGTACTACTCCAATAGATGATTTGCTTGCTAGGGATGTCTGATTGACGGTGTTGCTTGATTTTGTTTTGTAAATCAAAACCTAGTCTATTTCTTGATATCTTATTGGATGGTGATCAACAGTCGACAAATGATCTGTAAATCTGATTTTTGTCTGATTCTCAAGTCGTAATTTTTTCTTTTTCATAGATTGATGGTCGAAGTTTACAATCGACTACTTTGGTCTGTACTCATATAATCATCTAAATTAGTTTTCAGATTACAACATCTAGTAAATTTTCTGAACGCCTTTCTGTATCCTTGGATTGAAAATAAGAGCCGTAAGATTCGCAAGTGTATTTAGACACCAGAATTAATCTCCTAATCTTGTTTTCCAAAATTTAACTGCACGATTTGATGTTTTGTGCTTCTGATGTCATAATATGCGATTTCAAATCGTAGAATCCTGTTTTTGATCTAAGTTTTGCTTTTCCTGAAACAATTTTCATGCATGGATATTGATCTGCTAATCGAGTGGACAACCCTAAATTCGTAAGTGCCAAAAATTTTCGCCCTGCAGAGTTGTATTATAGTATCTTGTTTTTGCATTGATCATGCATGGTATACTTGGATTTGGATGGTGAGTTTTTTTCTCTCCAGCTTACCCCTCCATGTTGGGGTCGCATAGGTAGGGGTCATACTTGCAAGCGGACGCCGCCCGGGCAGTTCCGTACGTGCGGCAGACCGTCAGACCGGACCCGTGCGGCGCACAAATGTGCGCCCGACGATCAGTTACGCCCCACCCCAAAAAAAAAAAAAAAAAAAAAAGGCCCTGTCCGGTCCTGTCCCGGTCCGTCTGGTCCGGGGGGAGGGTGCCGCACGCGGCAAAGCGGACCAGGCTGGACGCTCATCCGGTCCGTCTGCTTGCAAGTATGGTAGGGGTGAGTGCCATTTGCCTAAGTGGGGTCAACAGTTGGAAGGATATGACACATCCCGCTGGCGAGGGGGCTAGTTGGTAGGACGAAAATAGGGCACAACAGCGATGGAGATGGTGGCTCCACGTGATAAGTCTTGTCGGAGTGGAGATTAGGGGGAGGGTTTTGGTAGTCTGGGTATGTCGAGCACGGCTTCCAAATTATCTACTTGGTTCTCAATTTTCACAAACAATTTGTTGTTCTCGGTTGCTTTTGGCGGTCTTGAGAATGTTTTAGGATTCTGGGTACTTCTTGCAACTCACTTTAGGTTTCTTTGATGTTGTTATATTCATGGATCTGCGATTTTTCGATGCGCGAACAACGCCGGCCGGTGCTAGGGGGTTGCCCTGTAACATGTTGATAGCAGGTGCGTGAGGCCCGGTAGAGATATTTAGGGATACCTTAGGGCCGGCATTCCAAGGGAAAACCAAGGGTTGCTGTCGGGACAACGCTGGCCGGAGTTGGGGTGAGTTGTGTTGCACTGTAACCTAGCAGGGTGGGGGCATGAGGCCTGGGAGAGCTCGGCAGGGAATAAGACAGTGTTAGAGAATTTTAGAGTGTTTTATTAGGGATTCCAGGCGTTCTCTCTTCTAAGCATTCAAAGGACTCCTGGAATTATGGCTTGTATAATTCTATATGGGACGCTGGGCCCGATTTATTAGGGTAGCTTTCCTTTTGACTTAGTAATTGCATAGCAATAGGTCAGCAGTTATCCA